AGTTAAATTGAGTGTTTCATTAAGATTTTAATTTTTGAGTTTTATTTGGATTTGTAAGGTGAATGCCTATATAGAGACCACCACCTTTTGATTGTAAATACAATTTTCAAATCAATAAAATTTTATATTATTTACTTTTAGCTATTGCTAATTGTGAGTGAATGTTCAATCAAGTGAGATTGCTTCAACCATCTTGTTAAGTCAAGAATCGAATCGACTTATCGGATAAATTATGACGTCTTTTCTATTCCAATTTTATTTTTAGTTATCTTATTTTGCATTCACAAGTTGAGTGTAGATCAAGTAAGAAGGGTTTATTTAGAGATTTAAGATTTCTGAATACTAATGTTATATGCAGGTTTTTTATTGCACTGTTAATCCTGCGTTCCACATCAATTCCTCCCTCTCCCCTGCCCCACACCCCCAATCATATTTCATTCTATGCAATCTTCTAATTATCTTGTTTCTATCAACTCCATTCCCTTTTTTACTCTAAAACCTTGGAGTTTTTCCCCCAATATAGTTTGATCTAAATCCTCAAAATTAACTTTTAGTACCAATGAACCTGCAAAATATTCAAAACCCGTTTTGAGGCTTTTGCTCGGATGAAATCCACCATCACCAACACATTAGACATCCCATCACTGCCTTTCGTCTGATTTACAGAGCACAGGAAACTCCTCCTAGCCCATCACAAGCCACTCTCTACTCCCTATCCACCATTATGAACAACAAACGAACACTCCCTTTCCCTCTTCCAAACAAGAAGCAATCAGAAGAAGAAGGCCTTTACTGAATCTAAGGCACCACTACCAACAAACATAGACACTCCGAAAATCGAACATCACCTAGAAAAAACCATGAAGATTGATGGTTAAGTTCTGTCCATTTACCAAGAATATTGAAGCATCTTCCATTTCCTACAAGACAAAGTAGGAGATTTAGCTTTCTCTTACCGGTTAGATCATTGAAGAGACCCAATCAAAAGCCCTCATGTTAGGTTTCTTCTTGGCACATTTTAGCTATTCAATTTGGCCCCTTAATTTCAACTAACACAGCTTTCTCCTAGGAAGATAATCTAGGTTCAACAAGGTTGATCTTGAAGCTCAATACTGTCACCTAAACCAAAAGAGAGAGCCTGTTCAAATTACCAAACTCACTTCACACTCATTTCCTTCTTCGAAACTGGCCACTAGTGAAGTGATATCCGAGAGATCCGAATCCATGTCAGATGAGGAGTCCCAAATTGAGTGGGAAACCCACGAGAAGTCCCTTACCCGCGAATTAATTACCCGCGAACCCACCGACCCGCCCATAAGAGAACCCGCATGCAGGACACGACCAACACGCACGCGCACAGTCGGCCATTTGCGCGTGCTACCAGAGAATGCGCACATGTTGCGCACGCCCATGCACATGCCCACGAGTCTTTCTCCTGTGCAGACAAGGAAGCCTACCCGCGGAAAGATTCCCGCAAGCTTGTGGGCTTGATTCCAAGTGAATTGGACCTTTTTAAAGCCCATCCCGTGTGCACAGTCCCAGGTGAGGCCCATATGGACCAAAGCAGCCGATTCAAGTGGCAAAAGCCCAAGACTCGAAGGCCCAAAGGCCTTACTTCCAAGATCCAACCCAAGATTGGTTTGTCAAGTCCAACCCATGAAGACCCAAGGGGCTTGATTCCAGTTTCAGTCTTCAAAGACCAAGAAGAAAGCCAAGGCTCAGCCAAGCCTGGCCTTATCCCTAAGCCACCATGGCCGAGAAAGCCCAAAGAAGAAAAAAACCAGCTGCATGAGGAGGCTTATCCTCCTTGATTCCGACTTGGAGGAGGAAGGAGAGCACCTAAAATTGAAAAGGAAAAGGACTAAGAAGACCCTTTGAAGAAGTCATCAGCCAAAGAACTCCTTGGCCTTACCGAAGTCAAAAACTATGGAGAGGAAGGAGGAAAAGAAGAGGAATCCTATGCACATGAGAAGACCAGTCTCCCACATCCATCACAAGTCCAAAAGCAAGAAGAATTCTTATTGTCCACGGAAGAATCTTTGCTGGAAATTATAGACTTCAAAATGAATGAGGATAATCAAGAAAGAGAGAAAAGAACTCAAGTTAGAAGGAGAGAAAAGAACTTAACTTGGAAAGGAATTCCAAGAGCAACATGAAATCGGCCAATAAGGGAGTGTCCATGCCGAAATGAAGAATCCTACTCCAAATCTTGACAACTTCCAACAAGAATCCTAATTCAAAGACTCCTCAAGAATCAAGAAAGAATGAAGAAAGAAAAAGTTGAATACAAGTAAAAGTTCAAACCGGAGAGGGAGTTCAAATTCAGCTACAAGGAGGAGTTCTATGATTTTAATTATTTTATTTGCTTGATTATCCTATCTAGATAAGGTTTAATTATTTTATTGTTTTTAAGTTTAAGTTTTCTAACTAATTATTGTCTAAGAGTCCAAGTAAGAAGTTATTATCCTACTTCTATTCGAACTAGTCAATAAAAACCCATAAAAAGGCTTTATGTCCATAGGTTGTAAACACAATTTTCCAGAGATTAATAAAATTAAGCTTTTCTTTCTTTAGAATTAGCTTTAACTAATTTCTTTGAATATTTTTCAAGTTCTTTAAAGATAGCAAACTTTTAGAAGTCTTATTAAGTCAAGAAGTTGGGATTGCTTAGGTAAGCTGTGGCGTCTTTCCTTCTTTTTTTTTTTTCCCCTATTATCTTATTTTTGCATACCATATAGGTGGATGTAGATTCAAGTAAAGTGGATAAACTAGGTGGTTAAGTCTTTTTATTGCATATGTTGGCTAAGATTCCGAGAGTCAAAATAATCCTCCCTATGCACTCCCGCATCAACTAGCCACATCAACAAAACTTGCTTTACCATCCTAGAGGTTGACTTTCATTTTGATGTCCATTTGCAAACTACAAAAATGGGCATTTCACTTGATAGGCGAGCAGATGCAACTACAGGATTGAACTAGCCAATGAATGTTTCTTCTTTTTTAAATATAAAGTGTGAAAAGTGTATTAATATAGGCGCCAAGGGAATGCCGCCTATGTATAAAATTTACAAGTCAATTAATGTATTCACAAAGTCTGTCAAATCCTCCATAGAACAAAGAGAATGACCCCATAACAAAAAACTAAGGGTTTAAAACCATCTATTCTTAAGGATATTAAAACTATTTACATCTTCAACCCCATCAAAAACTCTTTTATTCCCCTCCTTCCACACCACCCATAAGATAGAAATTGAAAATAGATCCACTTGTTTTCTTCGAATGCTAGTACCCTTCCACATCCAACTTACGTCTCACAAAATTTGTCATCACCCAACTAATGCCAAATAGCCCATAAACCATGGTCTATAACTTGTAAACTTCAAGGAACCAAAGCAAAATATAATTACAAGTTTCCTCAGCTCTCTTACAAAGATAATAAGCATTTATCAGTATCTTTCTCCTTTTCCTCAAGTTGTCAATAGTCAAAAAACATTCCCTACAAGCTCCCAAGCAAACGAAGAAACACAAGGAGGGGCACTAGTCTTCCACATCTATCTGACATGGAAAAATATGTCATCATTTTCATGCTTAAATAACTTCTTGTCGAATGATTTAACTAAAAAGAACCATTAGATGTGAGGCACCACCATGGAGTATCAATGCTTCCATTCAACGTAATATAAGATAACATGCCCTAATAACTCCTCATATTTTCCAATTTCCTAATCATTCAGATTTCTGGACACGAGCACTTGTGATTCTATCTCACCACTATAGTTCTACACTAAAGAGTCACAAATCTTGATGTCTTTCTGCTAGGCTTTACATAAATCTGAGGAAAACACACTCTCAGAGTACCTTCTTCCATCCACTAATCCTCCCATAGTCTAACTCTATTGCACTACCAACCTTCCACCTTATATACTCCTGGTAATTTTCCCACCCTAGACCGCACTTTTTCCACCAGTTTTTTCTCTGTGATCCTAAACTCTCTCGAGTAAGTTATCGTCTATCATCTATGTCATATTTCGCAACTATTGTTTTTCTCCACAATGCATCTTCCTCTGTTATAAATCTCCATGAACATTTACCTTGCAAAGTCCCATTCATCTCCATCAAAGATCACAATCCCAAGCCACCTAGGTACAGTGGTTTCTTAATCTCGCTTCATGCCACCAAATGATACCTCCATCTTTCACCCATGTGAACTAGCCGATGGATATTGGAACTCATTCGACATTCTTGTCCAGCTGGGCCAAGGACATGAAGCTTGACAACATTAAGATCTTTCTTGGTCACTCCCCAAAAGGCAAACAAGAGGGTCTAACACCCATCAGGCTATGGAACATAAATCCTCTTGTGCGAATCAGCAACCGGCTCAATAATAGTCAAATACTTACCCTCGTTTGGAATGAGGGCAACCCACAAAATTTTTCCTCCCTTCCTGGTGCTTCTAATCCAAAATGACCCTTTAACATAGAAGCCACTGTACTTCAAGTACTGCAAGGATGACTGGCCAAAAGCCACCATCAAGAGAAAGCTCAAAAGACTTCCTCTCAATGATCAGGAATCTCCTCAGAGGAGAAACTGGCATAAGGAAGACAATAATCAGACCGAGAGACACAATACTTTGATACTTTCTCTCTCCAGACAGACTTCCAGATGTTCTCTGGGCTATGAAAACACTCTTTGCAATCATAAATTAAGCACGACCAAAGCAAGGCTAAACTCTGCCAGTAATTTGGTACAAGTTCTGTTAATCATTAAGATATTGGCACCTTCAATATTCAAAGACCAGAAAAAGTTGGTAACTATCACCTGTATAATACTTGAAATTCACAGCAACATTTGCCTTCAAAGTTTTAATGAAATGAAGACATTACACAAAAGCAACATGTAAACAGATAAACCTTAACCACATTTCCAATCTCATATAATGACACGCAGTCAAGTCTAAGTAAAATAAACACCCAGCGTCTAATCTATTGACAAGAGAGCACCTGGCCAATAACTGCATCTGGGTGGATAACTGCCGTAGGATGAACGAAACTAGCAGCCTCTTTCTTCCCCACAGAGACATCTGTCGAAAAGCACAAAGCCATTTCTTAACCACGAAAATAGACACATTTGTGGGTACATCAGGATATGATGTATGCGTGTACAAATAAAGTGTGAACAGAACAAGAACGAAAGAGAGGCCTACAAGTAAGAGCAGAGCAAAAACGTTGAAAGGGAAGATTGAAGAGAGAGCAGCGAAAGGGATTGCGAGCTTTCAAGAGAGAAATCATGGGAAGGAGAGAAATGAGAAGGAAGGTGGCAGTGGACTTCTCTGTTGTGCTTCCCCCCTCGTTGATGATGGTTCGTGGAAATGGACAAATACAGTGGTTTTGCTAAAATTCGCCGCCCGGGCTGTTTGGGTTTTGGCACTAATCCGTAGGTTTTTAATTTAATAATTCTTTTGGTGGTTCTCTATATTAATGAATCAATTTTTATTTTTACTCTGTAAAATTTTTATATATTTTATGTTAAGAATAAATTTTTATCTATAAATATATATTTAATTCAATTATAAAAAGTACCTAAATTTTACTAAACAATAATAGAAATATTTTATACATAATTCTCCGTGAAATTAAATTAATTAATTCTAAATTGTGGCAAGATTGATAAATTTTGAAATGTTGTAATTTTAATTATTTTAAAAAAGATTTAAATCAAACAATTTGAAAAAACTGTTTAATGAGGTTATCAGAATTCAACCAAACTGACTATTTGCGTATTTCAGGAAAATAAAAATAAAAAAGAAATTGCACAATTGGATCTTCAAACTACATCAAATGCTATTAAGTAATCAGAGAGAAAATTTACAAAATTTGGATCACTCGGACAGCTCTGCTACCAAAATTCTATATCATATAGTACTAAAATCAGTCTCAAGAATTGGTCAATATAATTACTTTATGGTATCCACCATTTTACATGTTCATTTACCAAAGGGCTAACCTACATTGTCACCCAACGGCGTCAGACTTCCAACCTAAATATGTCTTCTGGTTCATTCCAAGATAAAGGTTACTTGCATGCAGCTGACGTCTTACTCAAGTCTTCACATGCCACTGGCGGAATCCATGATGCTATCCACTTCCAACATTCGAAGAACCTTCAACAAACACCGTAACAATAAATGAGTTAACCCTCCTTTCAAGTTGCCAATCTTCCATGCTTTGAAACAAAGATAAAAGAGACATTCTGGCCTTTTTATCTATTTATCTTGTACTAATTTGATTTTAAGTGTGATATTAAGATAAATGCTAGCTGATAGGGAGACCGTTTAAACAGATTTTCACTGATAAGGTCCATGTCTCTGACCTGTGACATGCGAGGCCTTGAATTAGGGTCCCGCCTGATGCACATCATTGCACATTGCATCATACCATACACCTCATTTTCTGCGTAGCAGTTCCTTAAGCATGGATCAAGTAGTTCGTGAATGGCATGTCGTTGTAAAAGTGGGCGTGCCTATCCCAAATTTGAAAAATAAACAATGAAGTGACATTGAAGGACAAAGTTCAGACGTGCTCTTTCAGCAATGCAAGTGAATTAGGAAAACCAAGACAAAGGATAAAGGGGAAAATCCTGCTACAACTAAACTACCTAATCAAAGATCTGTTCTAATTTCTCATCAACACCTTAATCACCTAAACAGATGTGTTAAGAGAAAAATGTAGCCAAATTGACAAAATTTTCATTTATACCCATTCAGTGAGGCATTGCTGCCCTTTGGGCCGCTTTATATCCATAGCTTTCCGTCCTGTAATAAGCTCCACTAATACAACCCCAAACGAGTAGACATCAGCTTTCTCTGTGATTTGTCCACTTTGAGCATATTCCGGAGCCAAGTAACTTGATAGAGGCAGCTTTCTTATTTAGTTGGCAATTGACTGCAGTTAAAATAAATAAGAAGAAGAAAAAGAGGAGTTATTTTACCCAAACGTCCCAATTACTCGTGTCTCAACTCCCTTGTCTCCATCAGGCTGCCATCTTGCCAGTCCGAAATCCCCAACCTAAAATTTAGAACTAGAAGTCAATTATGAATTTATGATATATATCCTTTAGGCAAAGAAGCAGAAAAGAGGCACTTTTCATTCTCATCCTCTAGTTATAGAAAAAAGCAAAAGCTCATGCCAGTAAATATCAATAGTTTCACAGTAATGGGAGAATCTAAACTTTCACCAATAGCTACAGAGATAACAAAAAGCAGCACATACTAATGGTTCAAAATCATGGGTGAGAAGGATATTGTTGGGCCGCATATCACGATGAACAATACAACCGACTCTACATTCCTCGTGGAGGTATCTCAATCCTCGAGCTGCTCCAACTGCAACTTTTTGTCGCGCAGACCATGTTAATGGATCTCTAGCACGTCCTAAAAATTTGCAAAGAAGCAATCCACTTAGCTGAAGCATTAATCACACCTCAATTTGTAGGGAAACTATTACACACATGGTCATTAACAATCTACTCCAGGTTCCAGGACAAAAACTAGAAAAAAAATGAGGACAATTTTTTGACACAGATGATCTTATCAGTAGACAAACTTAGCCAGCAATTATCGGAAAATGGACATAAGACTATTTATTATCTTGAAAATGCCAGTTAGATGGGAAAGTAAAGCTGAAAATAACAAAAAGGAAAAGGAGGTCTTTGAGAGCCTTGGACCTGAACTTGTTAGATATTCTGTTTATCGCAGGATACTTGGCATCTAAGCTGGTTGACCCAGCTATTATAGCATTCAAATGCTTGTGAAACAGAGAGGAAAAATCTTTCATGATAAGAATAATAACTAGAGATGCTCTTATCATAATGTTAAAAGTTAGGAATATAAGGAAGAGTACCATAAAGATGACAATCCAAAGAACCATTGCATATGTATTCATAAACAAGCAATCTTCGTCCACCCTCCACACAGAAACCAATAAGCAAGACAACATTTCGATGCTGCGCACAACTCAAAACCTCCACTTCTGAACAAAATTCTCGATCACCCTGAGAACTTGCTATCTTATATTGCTTGACAGCAACAACCTGGCCACCTGGTAAGAGACCTCGGTGAACAGATCCAAACCCACCTTCAGCCAAGAAATTTTTTTGAGAAAATCCATCTGTAGCAAGTTCCAGTTCAGCATAGCTGAACCACTTCGGAGGATTCCCAAATATAGGAGCCTTGTGCTGACAAATTGAACACAAGGGAGGAGGTCTAGGAGGTGCATTTCTGGACAAGGAAATTACTTCTCTCACACTTTTGCTTAATTTCAGATCAAGCTTATAATTACACGCCCCTACATCAGGTTCTCGACCTAATGTAGATAACTTCTCCAGCAAGACTTCATAAGTTGAAGTCAGAGCTGAATCAATGTGTTTTGTTGAACCTTGTGTGAATAGTTCAGAAAATTCACCACTAGAACTGAGAAGATTAGTCATCCATTGTCTGGAGCAGGAACCTCTAGAAGGAGGACCCTCGTTTTCATTATCAGTATCAGAGTCAGATTCAAACAAACTCTGCTTTTCTTCATTGATAAAAGAGGCTGCTTTCTTCTGACTTGCAAAAATTCCTGATAATAAAAATGGTGAAGTCCCTGGATCTGAGCTTGATATTGATGAAGTCCCGACATCTGTTGCAGTCAATGACGACTCTTGCTCTGGACTACTTGCAGGAGTCACAGATGGTCCCCTGATCATATCTAACTTATTACTCTCACTTTTTAAATTCCTCAGAAGTGGTTGTAACTGAAATGAAGATGAAGAAGCCTTTTGTGGTTCCATTTTTGGTGATCCGATTAAATTCAAACGAAGAACCTTAGGCCTAGACCGTTTCATAGCCACAACATTGCAATGCAGCTCTTCCATGCAGCACCTCATTTCGTGTTTCAATTGTCTGTGCAGAATTGCAATTACAAGTATGTAAGGAACTTGAGGACAGAAATACACTAAATTTGAGCTAAAATACGTTTAATATGATACATATTGCTGAAAACTTTGCAACAGCCTATATAATTTAATATGATACATATTGCTGAAGCATGACTTAAGTGAAAAAGAACAAGTTTTGGGTTTTATTACTTGTCCAATATAACCCAATTTGATTGAGTCTTCATGGCTTCAGCAGCAACTATTCCACAACGTGAGGCAGGGACGATTTTTTATCCGGATCTTTATCTGCAAAGAAGAAGCAAAATTCTCAATACCAGAAAAATTGGCCATAATAACTAAAGAAATCTGGGACAAACCTTATCCACTGACCTTCCCTGGATCATACACATCGTGTAATTGACGCATCATATGGGAGCAAGAATCCACAATATCATCTTTCTGATCTGAATTAGTTCCTGACAGAGACCACCCATGTCTGGTGGCACAATCACTGGTGAATCTTGAAAATGCCCATGTCCTTTTACCTGGACATGCATCATATCGTTTATCAGTATCAACTCTGAAATTCTGCTATATAATAGAGTCAAGTAGATCATTAATTACTTGTTCGGAGCTATTTTGATATGATCCCCACTTTATGCAGCATCGTAAATGAAAAGAAGTTGCAGCAGTGCTTCAAGAGAGCAACTTATGATTGTTCGCTAAAGCACTCTATTCTAGTTTCTCGGGATGTTATAAACCATTTATTCCAAACAATTTACTAAAATGTTTCAGTTTTCAGTTAAATAATGAGTGTTTCAGTTTGACCTGGGGGACTAATCAACTTACCCTGCTATGAATTTCTCATCTATGTTTATAATACTACATTTTTTTCTTCCACTATTATTGGAGATAAATTTTTAATGGATGATATTGTTTTCCGGTTATAAATTTTGGTATGCATAAAAGGTTTGACTAACGGGAAAATTTTATTTACATATATATAACTTGCAAAAAATGCATTAACCTCTCTGAACAAAAGACTAATACACTGCAGAGTTGGTTTTCCAAGAAATATTAACCAGAGAAGTTAAAACAGACTGATCTCGGAAAACACCAAAAAACTGAGACGAACACTTAAAAGAACAAAGGAAGACGTTTGAGCATCGCCAAATTAGCCACTAAAATTGGCAGGAGAAAGAATACGAAAAGCAATAATAATTAAGAGAGAGAAAAGAAAGCAAAGAATGAGATAATACATAGATATATATATATATAGAGAGAGAGAGAGAAGGTTACTTGAGGAATGAGCAGGAATAACTAGCAGCTTAATGCAATCCCCAGGCTGAACGACATGAGTCAAAGTCCAGACCAAAGCAGTCCTTGGGATCTCCTTAGACGCTCTAACAGCAACCACCACCACTTTTCCTCCCAAATCTGCAAGAACTTTATCCGTCACACCCTTTTCTTTCATTTCCAAACTCAAATCAAAACCACCCACCTTCTTCAACGCATCTCATAATCAAAACCCATATGAAGATTCTTCATGGAGAGAGAGAGAGAGAGGAGATTGCATTATTGGCACACATGAACAGTGTCCTAACAAGTAAGAAATATCACGAAAACCCAGATGCTTTTTTGAGGTGCCCAGATGACTAGTTAGCAAAAGAATGAAACTTTAAGGAACTTTTTATCAAATTGAGTACTTCTTTTCGTTAAAATTTCAACAACACACAAACACAAAACTTTTTCTCTCTTTCTTCTTTTTTTTTTATTTTTTATTTTTCTCAGCTGGTAGCTAGCAGTTAAAGATGACCCCCAAGGTTCCATCCATGGAACCGAGGCTTTTGCCTTTTTGTTCGTCTAAAGTGCGTGAGCTTGTCAAAAGAAATTACACAGAAATTCAGACTCTTTCTCTCAAGTGAGGTGGCACTTGAAGTTTGTCTTTAATTTCACACAATTATATTGACCGACTTACTTATATTATTATCAATTATTACAAAACAGAAGCGCCAGTTTAGGAAGAGAAGAAGACAAAAGGAAAAGAAAAAAAGAAAGTGGTAGGTTTGTTTTAAGTAAACGACAAATATTTAATCTATTTATACCAAACATACGTAGACCAACATGACGTATATGATTGGACTCGAAAGGAACCTCCTTTTCTTTGCTTTAATCAATTAACAAACGTAAAAATCCTTCCATGTTGGACTTTGAAAATGAAATTGGATTTTGCTTTATTTATATATTATTTTAATTCTAATCCCAATAATATGGAGAAAGAGAGAGAATGTTAAGCGGCTTCATTTGCTAACCAGAAGTAATGAAAAGATCCGAAACTTCTCCCTTACATAAATGATCTTTTCATCTTTACAAGATTATGCTCATGTGTTGCCTTTAATTGCAGCTATTTAATAGTATTAACTAATTATCAAACTCATGTATAAATTGATTATCTTGATTTGTCTTGCAAATATCAAGACAACTGCTAGGGCATTTCTTTGGCAAATTGAATAAGGCAATTTTAGCCCCAATTAAAGTTAAGGTGCCACAAAAGTTAAAAGGCCTGGAAAAAGAAAATTTTGTCCAAATTCAAAAGAAATATATTTGATAAAGCTGTAGCATAACCGATAATAAGATATACCTTAAATTACTTTCAAATTCTACAAGCAATCACTTAGAATATATAATAGGGGTGGAGACAAAGAGCTGAGGAAAGAAAATTTTATTAAATTGCATAGTTAAAGTTGTTGTATATGTAAAAGATAAGATGAGATGGGCTTTCGAGATCTCTTATGTTTTTATATTACTCTACTTGCACAACAAAGTTGAAACATAATTGAGAACAAGGAAAACATTGTTGCTAAAACTCCTCAAAGCTAAATAGTTCCCTAACTCTAGTTTCTTTATAGAAAATTTGGAGATCCAACCTAATTATACATGAAAGAATCTTCTAATTAATAAGATTATATCGCCCAAAAAAAAAAGGCAATCAAGTTGGAAACGGTGAAAAGATTTAGATGTGGGGAAATAGATGTCTATTGAAACAAGTTGTGCTTCTTTTTCATATTAAATTCTAATGCCTAGGTGAATGACCTTATTTTAGATCATTCTATACTAACATTGGCTCATGAACTAATTCATTATGTTCTCTTACCTCTTGAGGCTAAACAAATCAAGAGTACTACGATTTTGTAATATAGAGATGATAAGAGTATATGGCATTATTCAAGTAATGGAGTGTTGAACATAAATGTATAAATTATAATTTATCTTATTTATTATATTGAATTCAAATAGAATTTATATTTAATTAGATTTAAAATATATTTATTTTTAAAAAACTTATGTTATTAATTGAAGTTTATCTTTTAGGAAATTTGATTTATATTTATGTTTTAGATTATGATAAATTATTTTTAAAAAATTTGAATTCGATGTAAACCTACTTAAACACACATTAAGTTGTTAAATGGAGAAGTGGAGAAGTTAATGAAAATTTAGATTTTCTTCTCAAAAAAAAGTGTTTAAGATAAATATAGAGATTATAATTTTTTTATTTATTAGTTTGAATTCAAATAAAATTTATTTTTAATTAGATTTAGAATATATTTATTTTTTTTTAAAATCATGTTATTAATTGAAGTTTATCTTTTAAGAGATTTGATTTATATTTATTTTTTATATTATGATAGATTATTTTTAAAAAAATTGAATTTGATGTAAGCTTATTTAAAAGCACTTTAGGTTGTTAAATATGGAGAAAGTGATGTCAATAAAGATTTAAGTTTTCTCTATCCTTAAAAAAAATCCAACAAGTGGTATCAGCGCTTTCTTGGTCAAGAGTATGTGAGAAAAAAAAAATTGTAGTGAGAAGAGCAATGAAGAAAAGAAAAAAAAACTATGGAGGGAGTTTTCATTATCAAGATATCAAATAAGTCTTCATCAACATTGAAGAAAAGAAAATTTTCACCATGCAGAGTATGCAAGAAAAACAATCATGATGAAAAAGATTGTTGAAATAAAGGTGAATCATAATATTTTTATTATAAAAGATTTGGGCACATAAAAATAAAAAAAATTGCAGGTTAAAAAATGAGCAAGCAAATGTTGTTGAAGAAGAAGAAGAAACTCTTCTTTAAAATTTGAAGAGAAGTGCTCCAATAAATTTTGATAAGAATACATCAAATAATTGAAAATTGATAAGAAATGCATCAATAATCGAAGGTTGGTAAGAAGTGCTTCAAAATATGAAGATGAAACAAAAAATATTAGAAAGAAGTGCTCCAACAAAATAAATTTGGTGATTATAATTTTTATATTAAGAGAGAGTATTGAATATAAATATAAAAACTATAATTTATTTTATTTATTAGTTTGAATTCAAATATAATTTATTTTTAGTTAGATTTAAAATATATTTATTTTTAAAAAAATTATGTTATTAGTTGAAGTTTATCTTTTAGGAAATTTGATTTATATTTATCTTTTAAATTATGATAAATTATTTTTAGAAAATTTGTGTAACACCCAAAATTTTTTATTTTATTGTTATTTGAATTTTATTTAATTTTATTTTATTTTAATAATTAATTTATAAAGTTTTAATTTAATTTAATTTAATTTAATAGAAATAAAAATAATAATAATGATAAAATATGGTAAAATTATTTTTGAGATTTAATTAAAAATTATTTTGGAAAAATGGGTGAAAATCTGGATTCTGGGGGTGTTTTTGAAAAGAAAATAAAAAACCGAGGGTTAAAACGCAATTTAAAAAAATTGCGTCACGTTAGCAGCCTCGGCCAACCAAGACACACCGCGTGGCAGGGACGCTAACGCGGAAAGCCACGCGGGACGGAGGCACGTGGGCGATCTGTGTGCGCGCGATCGGACGGCTGAGATCTATTCCTGCGCGCACGGACGGCCCAGATCAAACGTGCGCACGGACGACTCAGATCAAGCGCATGCACGGACGACCCAGATTGCACGCGTGTGGACGGCCCAAATTTGATTGCGTGCGCACGGACGACCCAAATCGCATTGCGATGGACGGCCCAGATTTATCTCTAATTTAATCGCGATCGGACGGTCCACATTAAATCGTGATGGACGGCTCAGATTAAAAGGAAAAAGTTATAAATAATCTCATCCACACCCAACCCCAAACCCTAGCTGCCAGAACCCTCACCGGAGAAGACAACCCAGCCACCGGAGGAACCGACCGCCGTCACCCACCGCTGCACCGGAGCACCTTCCGGTCACCAAATGAGGTAAAATTTTTCCCCTTAGCTCGTTTTTCGATGCTGAACCTCCCTATGGCTAAATAGGAGCCAAACCACCGGCCAATTGGCCAGAAAATACCGCCAAAGTCCAACGGCGCTGCCACGGGTTTCTTCGGTTTTTGCCTCCGATGAGGCCCTTTCCGGTTCCCGTTCGATGTAATTTTTATACCACTGTGACCACCGTCCATTTCTCTACAGATTGACCGGAGCAAAACACCAAATTGTAACTCACGTCGGAGGAGCCGCCCCACCCAAGAGCTCCACCACCGGTAAGTCTCGGTTTTTTGTAATTTTTTGGCCCACCGAGGGCCCTAGGGATGTTTTATCACAGGAACCAATGCAAGTTTGGCCGAATTCGGCTGAAAACGACCAACCCGAGGCGGATCACCGCCGCAGGCAGCGGCGTCGTCGCCGGAGCACGGCGGAGCCACCGTGCTGGAATTCCAAAATTGGCCGAATAGGCCCTGGGTCTGATTTGGGGTTTTTTGGGGACATGTGCAGGTACTAGAAGTGTGTTTCAGTTTCTGGAGAAAAATTCAGGGAATCTAGGGACTGCCCGGAGGAGCAGTGAGAACCCAATTTCAGACTCCGAAACAAGTAAGGATCCCTTACCCTATTTCCTATCATGACATTA